GCGAGCCCTTCCCGTCGGGAGGGGAGCTGCCCGGTGGGACGGCTGATGGAGGGGAAAACCGACGCTGGGGAGCCCGGCCCGGTGCCGCGTCCCGCGGTGCCGCCGCGCTCTTACCTTTCTTGATCACGGACTGATCGAGCAGGTTCATCCCGCCGTCGTCCACGGTCTGAAAGCACCGAAGCAAGAGCCGTCAGCCGGCAGCTCCCGGTGAGGATGGGCACCGGCCGCTCAGGGAGTGGGGCCGGAGCGACGGGACCCGGTCCACCCGCTGCCCCTGGCCAGGAGGGATCGCTCGGGAACGGACGAGCCTCAGTAACTGGGCTCCCTGCCCATCGATTCTCCCTGCCCGGGGGTACGGACGCCTCGGGGCCCGACCTGTCCTGGTCGGGTCCCCTCACATCCCTTTGGCCGCACAGGCGGCTGCGGGATCGGTCCCCACCCGCCTCCCCCGGGGACCCTTCCCGTCCTCCCTCTGTCCCTCGGTACCTGGATGTCCTCGAGGCCGTGGTGTCCGAGGCCGTGGAGGCCCAGCGGGCCGTCGGTGAGACCGTGTCCGCCCTCGGGCAGCCCGTGGAGCAGGCGGGGCACGGCGGGGTACTCGCGGCGGGGGTCGAGCCCCAGGGCGCGGTGGGTCCCCGAGAGCAGCCCCGCTTCGTCCTGCCGGCCACGCTGCGGGGGCCAGGCGGGCTGCTGGTGCTGGTGGAGCGGGCTGAGCGCCGCGTAGGGGTCCCCGAGGTGCGGGTAGCCGGGCTCCTGGCCCTGCGGGTAGGGCAGCGGCGGCTGCGGGTACGGCGGGGGGAAGTAGGGCGGCTGGAAGTCTGCGGCGGGCGTGTGGCAGAGCGGCGGCGCGGAGCCGTAGGGCGCTTGGTTGAGCGCGGGCAGCTGCGGCAGGCGGGCCCCGGCCGGCGCCCCGGGCAGCCCCTCGGCGCGGTCCTGCGGCGGCGGAGACAGCAGCGGTGAGACGGGCGCGGACCCCCGGCGGCCCCGACCCCCGGCCCGGCGCGGCGCTGCCCACCCGCCCGCTCCCCGGCCCGCACTCACCATGCCCGGGTAGCTGTGCACCAGCATCTGTGCGGGCCCGCGGCGAGCCCCGGGCGGGCCGGGCCCCGGGGGTGCCCCCGTCTCCGCCCCTCTATCCCGCCGGAGCGGCGTCTCCCATCGCCCTCCCGCTCCTCTGCGCCGGCCCCGACTCCATGCGCGCCAGTTATAGCGGCGGGGGCGCGCCTGCCGCGCCGGGAGCGCGCGTCAGAGCGCGGGGACGGGGACGCGCCGCCCGCTCCCGCGGGGCCCGACGGCTCCCAACGGCGGGGGCAGCGAGACGGCGGCGGGAGGCGGCTGGGGCGGGGGGCACCTGCCTGCCCCGGGAGCGCGGCCGGTGCCGCTCCCCGCTCCCTGGGGAAGCCCCCGGTGCCGCGCTCCACAACCGCCTTCCCCCTGGTGCCACCCCCGGTGCCACCCGCCCCGGGCCGCGCCGCCTGAGAGCCCCGTCAGGGAGCGCCCCGGGCCGCAGCGGGGACCGAGCCCCGAGGGCCGGTTGAGGCCGGGGGCGCGGGAGGGCTGCGGGGCCCCGGCGATGCCCTATGGTTTGACTTTATTAGCCCGAGGAGGGAGCGGGAGCCCCGCAGGGAACACAGCGGGAGCCCCGGCGGCAGATGCAACCTCCGGCCAACGGCGGCCGGAGCGCGGCCTGGGGCTGCTGCTGCTGCCGGGAGAGCCAGGGGCTCCCCTCGGGGTTCTTCTCGCTCCTCCACGATGGGAAGCAGGGACCCTCAGCCCAGACCTGGGGAGAGAGGGAAGGGTCTGGGTCTCCCGCCCGAGGGGACGGGCGGGAGCCGGGAGATAGAGCCAGAGGAATTTGGGAAGCAACGACGGAGAGCGTGCCTGCCTCCCGCCCTCCTCCATCCCTCCTCTTCTCCATCCCTCTCTCCTCCTCTTCCTCCCTCCCTCCTCCTCTCCATCCCTCCCTCGCCCTCTGCTTAGGCCCTCCCTCCGGGGCAGGGCGAGGCGGGCCCGCAGCACCGGGGCCCCGTACGCGGCACCGGGCACCGGCGGGGCTCGGGAGGGAGCAGCGGCCGGCCAGCGGCACGGAGTGACCCCCACTGACACCCCCGACCCGCCGCACGCCGGTGCAGGGCACCGAGGCCGGGTCCCGGGCAGGGTCATGTCCCGCGGGGCCCCACGGTCTCACCGCGCCACCCGGGTGCCCGTTGCTGGAGTTTCCATGGGTGGCAGCGTGTAATTGGTGTGCGAGCACAGAACAACCCCTTTACTGCGCTGCAACGCGCGGCGGGTGAGATCGGCACCAACACGCACCATCCCACATCGCTCTTAATTTAATTCCGCTCTTCCTGCCCCGAGCTACAGCTCCCTTCATTTTCATTTCTCCTCTGAATTCCCACAACGCAGACCTCTTTGATTTCCAGGTTTAATTAACAATGCTCATTAAATGAATTTTTATTCATTTCTTTTAATATTACCCTGCCACCTGTCTTTAGGAGGCAAAGGCTGATCATTTATTCTAATTTATTTCTATTAAAGATAGCATTTAGTTTTAAAGATGGCACTTCAGTTTTAAATTGAAAGAGGGTGAATTTAGATTAGACATTAGGCAGAAGTTCTTCCCTTTGTGGGTGCTGAGGTGCTGGCACAGGGTGCCCAAGGAAGCTGTGGCTGCCCCATCCCTGGCAGTGTTCAAGGCCAGGTTGGGCACAGGGGCTTGGAGCAAGCTGCTCCAGTGGAAGGGGTCCTTGCCCGTAGGAACCAGATCCATTTCATTTGCTGGGAAAAATTGGATTTGACATGCTGTATTTTGCAGTTATTTTCCAGTTCATTCTTCACGTCCCCTGCTCCTCTGGTCCATATAATGTTGGTCTTTATTTATCTGAAAGAGGTGAAACTGCAAAATCCATGCACCAGCCCGCATGTGGGATTCCGGGGCAAGCAGGAGGATGCTCACTCTGTACAGCTTCAAGTATTTTCACCCTCTTGGTGATGAGGACAAGTTAATCCTATGGGTCTCCCATGGGCAGGAGGCAGCGTTAAGCCACAGCAGTGAGGATGAACAATTACTTGCTTTAACCTGCTGTCCCAAGGTTCCAGGCAGGGCCAAGGACGGTCACACTGGGTGCTGCACACACACTGGTTCTGTTACTGGCTCATCATGGCCAGGGCAAGTGCTGGGTGTCATCACAACACAGGGTGCTCTGTTGCAGTTCCCCACTACCTGCTCTTAGCCTCCCAGGGTAAGGACCAGCTGTGCTTGTGTTCTGCTCTGCCAAAAAGCCTTTGTGTTTGCTAACAATGACATGATCATGTCGAGGTCCTCAACATGAGAGCTGTCCCCTCGCCCCACAGCTATGGGGAGCCCTCTTTGTCACTCTGGGCCAGGTCTCCACCCCAGGGACCACTTGTTGCATTTGCACCCAAGCCAGAAGTCTCTGGAAAATTGGTTTTGTACCAAAGTTCCCAAAGCTCCTTCCCAGTGATCAGTGACCAATGACCGGTGATCAGTGCCTCTGTTGGCTCTTCCTTGGGGCAGCAACCTCTGCTTTCAGGGCTCAGCAGTGAAAATACCTGCTGAAAATACCTGCAGTAGGGACACAGAAGCAAGAGCACGTGAGCACAGGTCTCTGCCCCAGCCAAAGGTGAACTGGTTTTACTCCAGAAGCCCAGCTCCCATCACCACCTGGGAGAAATGTGGGCTGCTCCTATCATTTCCCACATCTCCTTCCTGGGAATCCAGGTGGGGAAGGAAGGTCTTTGGTATGGGGCTGGAGAGCCAGGCAGGGCTTTGGGGAGAAGGATGGGGACCCTGTCAAGGGGGCAGCCCCTTGCTGCTCCTCACTACCCCTGACACATCTCACTGCATGAGGTTTGTGGGAAGGGGCTGCACTAGCAGCCACATAACAGCCCTATGAAATACTTTTATTGCCACTGCTTTTGGGGTGATGTGAATAAACAGTGTAGGATAATGCATGCTGTGGTGGGGATTGCAATGGTGTTAGGATATTTGAGCTGTCAAAGTGAAATGGAATGCGCATCTGCTCCTCTGGGGGCTTATCCACCTCATCCAAGCCACGATGAACGATCTCCTTGTTCCTGGAGGGCTTGTCCTGGTGTTGAAAAGGCACTGGGAGATAAAGCACAGTTTCCTCTGGGTGCTGCTGGCTGCAATTCCACTCTGTGCTGGGATCTCAAAGCGGGGCAGATGACAAGGGAGGTTAGGTGGTGCCTTTCTGGCACTGGAGCATCGGTGCCACAGTGGTAAATGCTGCCAGGGGAGAACTTGCAGTTGGGTTTACAAAGCTTGGGGTGGCCAAGGAGTCACCCCACAGCCTTTGAAGCCTTGGCACCGTTTCCCTAGCGCAGGGCTGAGCCATGCTGGGCACGCCAGGGCCTGCAGACTGGCACAAGCAGAGCCAAAGGAGGCACCCACATGGCAGGGGGCCTCCACCAGGGCCTGTGCTCTCCCTTCCTGGATGTGCTGAGCTCCTGCTGTGAGAGCCAGGGGCCTTGGGGGGGGACAATGGCCTTTTAGGGGTGCTCAGTCCTAGAATGTGCTTGGAAAGTGGTGTCCCAGGACAAGAGGGTGGTGATATGAGGGTATCACCACCCTTCACTATGAGGGTGCTGAGGCACTGGCACAGAGAGAAGCTGTGGCTGCCCCATCCCTGGCAGTGCTCAAGGCCAGGTTGGACACAGGGCTTGGAGCAAGCTGCTCCAGTGGAAGGGGTCCCTGCCCATGGCAGGGGTTGGAGCTGGATCAGCTTTAAGGTCCCTTCAACCCAATCTGGAATTCTATGATAGTGTTCAAGGAGCCCCCACATCTACACAACAGCATCTCTGGGATGCTTTCACCTGATGGCAATTTCCTTGGAGGAGCATGAGAATGAGGGTCAGGTGCTTCCCAGGCACCTGCTGGGGGCCAAACCCCAGCGCCCTAGGATGTGGGGAAGGATAAAATGGAGAATTTCACTGGGCTTTGGTTTGCTCCCAGTTAGCCTGCCTGGAATTGAAGACAAGCAGCTAAAGGCCTCTGGGTTGGGGGCTGTTCTGGTCTGGGATAGGGTCCTCAGGACCAGGCTGGATCTCTGGTCAGGTGTTGGGGAAGCTCCTACCATTGCCTGCGGGGATGAAGGATGGCCAAGCCAGCACGGAGAACCACAGTGAGCCCAGTGCAGTGCTGGGAGGGAGGAGAGCAGGGCACCCTCCTGCTGATAAAGGCGCCTCTCATTAGAACTAATGAGAGTCTTTCAACAGGAATTCCACACCCTTTGACCAGAGGCAGAAGAGCACACGGGCCCAGGAAGAATGGAAGGTAAAGCATTTGAGGGCTGGGATGGTTTTTATGGCAATCTGAAATGTTTCTGACTCTTCCAATGCATTGCTGTTTCCCTGGATGCAGGGCTGGGGTGCTCCTGGCAGGACAGGGATGCTCTCCCAGCCCACACTCAGGCAGTTGTGCTCTTTTCCAAGGCCAGGAGGCTCATTTGTGTGTTTGGCTTACATCGCTGCCTTCGGGGAGCACCCACCTTTGTCCCAGCTTGCAGGAACTCTTCCGAGCTCAGCTGGAAAGATCAGAAAGATCTGCCCTGAGCAGCAGCGGCTGCCTCCGCTCCAGCTGTGTTTGCCTTCACAGAGCTAAGGATCTGGTACAAAGCAGCTCAGCTCAGCTCTGCTTTGCTCGATTTCCTCTGTGCCAAACGATTCCGCAGCCCCCCTGCAGTTCTGGGGACAGCCGGGATCAGTGCCTGCGTCTGGCAGCAGATCCAGCTCCGGCGAGGCTGCTGCTCCCAACTTGCTCCTCGACTGACACCTGGTGGAAGAGCTGCAGCCCAGGTTGAAGCCATAGCCTGGCAATAGGGGAAAATCCCTTTACATCCCAAGCCTGCAGCCAGGGAGCCCGGGGAAATACAAATCCCTGCGGCTGTGCCATGTGTGGGTGCTTAACAGGGAACACCGGGCCATTTCAAGTGTGCTGTGGAGGGTTTCTAAACATACATTTGGAATTATGATGATGATCTGGTGTCAGTCATGAACAGGGAGTTGTTGTCCCATATGGCGCAAGCACGTTTCTACAGCTTCCCATTGGAAGGGGCCAGGTCTGTGCCAAGTCACAGGGCACTGCCATCAGTAAATATTAAAGCTGTCCCTGTTCCTGCTTTTTGCAGGTTTCTGTGTGTAGTGCCAAGTTGCTTTACATGTTAACACATGCAAGCCTCCGACTTAAAGTGACACCCTTGCTGTGACAAAACTGGGAGTGTGTTAATGGCAGAAGCAGGCAAGCTCTGAGGGCCCTGGGCAGAAATAAATCCCAACACTGCAGGAGTATGAAAAACAAAGCAACAGAAAAACGTCTTTAATAATACAGGCTGCTTTTGAAAAGAAATAGAGGGTCAAGTGGGGGTATGTTGAAACGTTCTGAGGCAGCAAGAGCTCTGTGCATCAGGTTGGGCAGCTCATCTCTGCCACATCACTCCAGGTTTAGGAAGTCTGGTAGAATGTGGTTTTATCCCCATCTGGCACCAAAGGGTGTGGGGCAGATGTTGACCAGATCTTGTGCTGACTGCTCCCCACACCAGGGTGCTGCTGGCTCTTCACTGCTCAGACAGACACTGTTCCAAAGCTGCCATACCATAGAGGTTGGCCCACTCCCTGCCGTGGTGTGACAGGATCACGTCCCTGCAGGGCTTGCTGGCTCTGGCCAGCTCCACCAGCACCCCCTGGAAAGCAGCGATGAGCTCAAAGTCCACCGAGGCTGCAGCAACACGGGTCAGGAGCTCGGAGAGCCCTTCCAGCCACTGCGCCTGGAGCACGCCTTGTGGCAGCCAGGGGAAAAGTGGGATGCAGCCGGCCAAGGCCTGCATTCCCAGGAACCAGAGCTCACTGATGTCAGCCCAGGCACTCGTGTAGGCAGGCGAAACAGCCAAGGTCAAGCTGTCACTGCCAGGCTCTGCTTGGGCAGTGTGGGCCTGGGATAGGAAGGAAATGGCAGCCCCAAAGAACTCCTTGGTACGCTGTGTCCCCTGGAGAGCTGGAAGAAAAAGGAATTATTTGATACAGAGCACCCTTCAGTGTTTCTGTCTGCAGCAGGGCTTTTGGAGAGAGCAGGATACCCCCCTCCTGCCTGAGAAATCTCTTAATCCCAGTGCATCAGCCTGCTGTATTTCCTGCCTATTCCTTACTCCACCAGGCTTTTGGTTTTGCCACTTTTCCAACTACAAACTGGACCTGCTTCCCTCATATTTGCCTTCTCCAGCCCAATCAGCCAGAGTGATTTGCCAATGGGAACTCCTCCTACCTGTGGAATCTGCAAGGATCCTGGCCATCATCAGGCCCAGAGTGGCAATGTTTGCTGCTAGAGCCAGGTGATCCTTCTGGGGCAGCAGAAGTGGAAGAGACTTCATCAACGTGTTCATCAAGGAGCGAAAGGTTTTGTCTTGCCTAGAGAGAAAGCAAAACCTGAGCTGTGCTTCCTGAGCAGAGCCAGAAGCACCTGGAAATGTCAAGGTTAAATGCAGCACCAAAAAAGTAATGTAACTGCTTTTGAAAAAGGGACATCCCTTTTTAGCTTTAACAGATCCTGTAAGCTCACTTCACAACGTCATTGGGAAGAAAGAGGGTGCAATTGGAGCAAGCTCTTGTGGCTCCATTACCTGATGAAGTCTGGTGCTGTCACAACCAGGTTAAGGAAGATCCCACACATGGTCTGCAGACTCATTTCAGTGCTTGTCAGTGGAGTCAGGGACCCAGGCTTGGAGGTCAGCACCTCCCACTGATGGAGGAAGTACTCACACAGCAGTGCTGGTGCCCCTTCTGAGATGAGGATGTCCCGGGGCCTGTCCTCTGCTGTTAAATGGCAAAAACCAGGTAGCAGAAGCCTGGAAGGGGAAAGAAATTAGGAGCACGAGGTAGAATGGGTCTAAGCCCTGCATTTAATCCAGCTGTGGGGGGTAAAAAAAGAGCCATGGAACTGGCACTGCAGGGAGAATGAAAAAGAGAAGATTTGAGCAGGCTTGTGCTGAAATGCATCAATTCTGTGCTAAAAATACACACCTCAGAGCATCCTGGGGTAAGCCAGAGCCCTCGGTGCTGACCACCTCTGGCTGGGGAGGACTCTGAGCTGAGCTGCCCTCTTTGAAAAGCCTTCTAGCATAAAGAACAAGGAAGGGCAAGAGCTCGCAGATTTCCTGCTTGAGGGAGGATGTCTCTTCTGCCATCCAGGCTCCAAGGATTCGAACAGAAGCAAATATGAAAGGATCTTGTAGCTCCTCCTGTTTAACCTGCATGAAGAAGCAAGCAAACAGAAAATGATGTTCGGGCCACTGTTCTATCGAGCTGCTGTAGGTATGAAAACTGCAGTGGGCCCAGATGCAGTTTGCCTCTACACAGCCATGAGCTGCTGAGCACCCAGTAAGCATCCTGGTTAGCAGCTGTAAAAGCCTCCCCAAGAAACACACAAAAACATGCTCTTTGCTTGCAAACCCTGCATTACCTGCCTCAGGTAGAATATTACAGCTCCAAATGCCTCCTCCATGATCCTCATGAGCTGCATTTTCTGCACCTCCTCGAGCAGTGGTTTCTCTTCTCTCAGGCACTCCTGGATCCCCATCTCAATAAGGACATAGCAGGCTGTTACCACTTCTTTCTTCCCCTCCACCTCCAAGGGATCTGGCTCCTCTAGGGTCAGGCGGACCTCCACACAAGCCAAGTTCACCAACAAGGCCAGGAATTTGCTTCCAGCACTGCCTGCTGGGATCCACTCTGACCCATAGGCCTGCAGGAGGCAGGCAGCAAGCTTGAGGGCAGGGTCCCGCTGCGACTGGCTGAGTTTACTGCCCAAGATGTTAGCCAGCCCTTTGTAAAGCCTATGGAGGCACTCAGAGCCCTGTGGGTCCTGTGTGAGTGGTGGTGACAAGGGGATGAAATGAGGCAGAACCTTGCACAGCTCGAATTTGGTCATGTCTTCAGTCTTGAGGAAATCCTCGGAGAGCTTGCTCAGCACGGCCAGGAGGTGTGGAGCATCTCTCTGCCAGCACTTCTCCTCTGCTATGGCCAACAGCCCCAGGAGCAGAGCCAACACACGGTCAGAGCCATAACTGCAATTCACATATGCCTGGCACAGGGCAGACACTGTCCCTTTGGTCACCAACTCTCTGGGCCCCCTGCTCGTGGCCATGACGGCACTGAGGCACTGGTATACATCATCAACCATGGGTGCGCTGTCCGGGTTGCAGGGGGAAACCAGGATGTCATTGAAGGTTGGGATTTTGTTCAGGATCTGGGAGTGCGCCGCTAACTCGGGATCGGTGCAGAAGCATGCCAGCAGAGTAAGGCCCAGCGCCCGGAAGGTGTGATCGGGGCAGCCGGGTGGGGGCTTCCCAGACGCGAGCAGGCGAGTGGGAAACGTGAATCCAATTGCATCAAAGATCTGGCGACGGGTCTTGGCGTCTACTTCTCCAGCTCTGACCGCTTTGGTCACCTGCAAGGCAAACCAGGGGTGAGCACTGCAAGCGGTTTGCAGAATGTACAGGGTTCAACAGGCAAGTAAGAAGCCTTAAACAGCTTTTATTAGCGCAGAGAAGCACCCGCTGAGCTGGGCGCTTGCTCTAAGCGCTAACGGGAGCTTTCCCAGGGGGGTTTGGGAGCGTGGCAGCACGCATGACCCCTCAGCGCGCCCGGACAAGGCCGGGCTCCTTCTGCCTTGCTGATGGGACCATGAGGGCTCTGAAGCGCCTCGCCCCGAGGCTCCCAACGCCGCTCAGCCCCGACCTCCGCACACGCCGCCCCCCTGCGCCCCGGTTCCTTACCAGGAGCAGGGCTGCGAACTGCTCGCTGTCGTTCCTCGCGTCCCTGAGCACATCCAGGCACCGCCTCAGCGCGGAGCTGCCCGCGGCCTCGGCCATGGCCCGGCGGCCGCAGCACGGACACGGAGCGCACCCGGTAGCACGTCGGGCCCTTTACCGATGCCCCGCCCCGTTCTGCCTTCCAGCCAATCCACGCGCGGCTTCCGCGTCACAGCCCAACCGCTTGCCGCCTTGTTGGGCGGTCCCTGAAGCCACCGCCCCCGCGCGGCCTGTGGGCAAATCCCCTGTGGCTGCGCGGCCTCTTGGCCCGCTGCTGAGGGAGCGCCGGGAGCACCGGATCCGCAGCTCCGGCACCGACCGACGGGCGCCGGCGGAGGCCGTCCCGGTTCCGGGAAGCGAAGGTTCAGCTTCCGGGTGAGGGGTGAGCGGGTGCCCGCTGCTGGCGCCATGGCCGCGGGGCAGGAGGCCGCGCTGCCCCCCGGCCCGCCGCGCTGGAGGCCCGGCCCGGTGCCGCCGCCCGCCTGAGGCTGCCGAGGAGCCGCTGGGCTCGCCTCGCCATGCGCCCCTGGTACGTACCCGCTGCGCTGCTTCCTCCCGCTCCCGGCCCTGGGGCTCTGACAGCCAGCTCCGGGCTGGGGCCTCCGCTCTCGGCGTGTCCCGCCGGCCGGGCAGGAGCGGGGTAGCCCGGCTGTTCCTGCGGCCTCCTGCACCGGGCCGTGCCCTGTGAGAGCGAGGGGACGGCGGAGCGGAGCCCGGGAGGGGAAGTTCCGGTACCGACCCGTTGGCAGAGCAGCCGCGGGGTTCCATCTCCCATCGCGAAGTTTTCCTCCCGTGTGCGTCCTTCCCGCAGCTCACG